AGAGCCAGCACTTGAGCCAGGAGAAATTACAGCTACGTTGACGTTACTTTGAATCGCGGGGGTAAGCTAAACCGTTAGCAAGTAGCTATAGCTAGCCAGATATATTAAATAAACACTTTGTCATACAATCTAAATGTAATGTTTTTTGGCGTTACCTGGTGATTTCAAAGAAAGCTCTCTGGGAAATGTTGACTTACTGTTCGACATGAAGCTAGAAGCTACCTTACAGTACACAGTTGATCCTGAGTCCTGTCAGTTAAAGTGTTTCATAGTTAGCTTAGCTAAGCATCAACCTAGCACTGAAATACATGGATGTTATGTGACAGTATTTCTGAGAAAAAGTCAGCTGAAATGGTGGCATAGTTGCCACTGCTTTACGTGTCGACAGCATGATTGAACGTATTTGCAGCAGTAAATGTGGCTGTTTGGCCACTGACGTTGTCATAACAACACCTGAATGTAAATGTGCAACCTCTTTTTGTGACAGATTTTTGCATGAAATTATAATTCTTCTGAATGATATTCCTATTGACAGCTACTTTTTATGTGAACATTATGAGATGGACAGCCAGAGAGAATAAATGAAAAACAGTTATGAAATACTATATGACAAAACAAGAATACAGTTTAAAAGGGGAGTGATTTGTAAAATATCCATAAAGAAAAATCTGTTTACAGTTCTGTTTCATATGGGTGTTGAGAGATGTATCCATAGAAGTGCACCAGATTGATGCTTTTAACTTCAATATTTAAAAAAAAATCTTCCCGGGGGAGCATGCCCCCGGACCCCCCTAGAGGAGGTGAGGACCCCCCTAGAGGATGTTAGGTCCACGGTGTTTACATGCTTATTTATACAATATGTGTGCTTATGCTAACATCATAAGACAAAAGTTGGTTCCGTGTTGTGTGAAGTGAGAACGAGCTAGAGTGAGGGGGGCCCCCAAGCCAAAGCTCGCTTAGGGCCCCCAAAAGTCTAGGGCCGGCCCTGCCTGTACCTGTCCAGGTAACGCAGCGGCTGCCGGTGGGGGTGTTACACCGGGGGGCGGATGAACTCAAACACCGGCTCCCTCATACCTGCAGAGACAGGAAATACAGATTTATTAAGACAGGAAATACAGATTTATTAGGAAGGGAAATGCAGATTTAATAAGACGGAAAATGCAGATTTATTAAGACGGAAAATACAGATTTATTAAGACGGGAAATACAGATTTATTCTGGGCTTGTTATTTGTTGTAGTTGCTATACCCTCTCAAATGCAATATTCTTTTACTGATTTGAACATAATGTGAATTTAAAATGATGGTCTCTACTAATCATAAATGCACAACAAGCTCCATGAAAAACTCCTCATTCTCAGAGTTTAATCTCAGATAAATGGTGTTTTCCTCTGTGCAGAGAGACAATCAGTGCTGATCAGCAGCAGCTGCTGGAGGTTTCCCTCCTTTAAAGCTGGCTGGTGCTCAGGCAACACTCTCTTGGAAAACTGCAGAGATGGCAGCTGTTTGGATGCTCCTCTGTGTGCTGACTGTTTGCCTGGCCAGAGGTGTTTACCGGTTTGATAATTGTATTGAAGATGAAGGAATAATGTTTGATTTAACAGGATGTTTCCTGTCCACAGTCTCTGGTTTTCCAGCCGGTGAATATAAGCTGCAGAGGAGACTGAGAGTTGAAAACATTTGATTGTATGAAGTGTTTCTTCTCTCTGTCTGACACTAAAACTTTAATTATGTGTCCTACAGATCTGTCTCCCGGTGAGATCTCCTTAAAGAAAGCCTTTGCACTTTTCCAGTCGATGGAGTCCATGTTAGACCAAGATGCTAGAGAAGGTGAGCCCTAAAGGCTAAAAGGTCAACAGTATGTGCCGCATTGAAGTGGTGAAAATGATCTGAAAGCTGGGAAATCTAAGATTAACTCAAGATATTTAAACCGTGTATAAAAGGGTTTAAAACATTATGATATCTGTATGTCTTATACCAAGTGAAGACACCCAGCCCTTGAGGAACACTATTGGGTGATAATGCTTTAAACTGGTTTTAAAAACTTGAAATTGGGAAGATTTTTGTATTTGATTGCCATCCCATGATATTTTGTGCATGTTGATGCCATGCGTTTCAGAAATGTTGCGCCAAATTGAACAACTTTGAGAATTGATCTTAAAAACGGTCCTCAATCCAACAAATGCCACATTAAAAGAAAACTACAGAACAATTCACGCTGTGATTTCAGTCGACGTATAACGTCACGTGATTTATTTTGGTTCTTGATTTGTTAATCAATCCTTCTGTCTTTCAGTACAACTGGAAAACAATGACGTGGAAGCTGAGGCGTCTGGTCACCAGAATCCTGAACAAAAGCCCCAGAGCGTCAACGAGACAACAAATGTCCAGAACCAGGTCGTAACGAGGGACAACGGCACGGCGGGGGGAGTAAAGAACCGGGTCGTCATTAGGGGAAATTCCACTGCGGGGCGTGACCTAAAATGGGTCATCATAGGAGGCGACTCCACAACTGAGGACGTCCAGAACCGGGTCGTCATTAGGGGAAATGCCACGGCGGGGGGCGTCCAGAACTTGGTCATCATTAAGGACAAAGTCAAGACGGGGGGCGTCCAGAACCTGATCGTCATTAGCAAAACCGCCACAGCAGAGGCTGTCCAGAACCGGGTCGTCATTAGGGGAGTGGCCAAGGAGGGGGGCGTCCCAAAATGGGTCATCATTGGGGTAGACTCTACGACTGGGGACGTCCAGAACCGGTTTGTCATTTGGGGCGAAGCAACGACGGGGGGTGTCCAGCAGAACCTGGTCCCCATGGACAACGGCACGACGGGGGGCGTCCAGCAGAACAACGGCACGACGGGGGGAGTCCAGCAGAACAACGGCACAACGGGGGGTGTCCAGCATGAGCACAAAGGTGAGCTCTAAAGGCCAAAAAGACAACAGTATGTGTCGCATAAAAGTGGTGTAAAAGATCTGGAATCTGTGAAATGTTTGATTAATTTGAAACACAGCAATGTCAAGCTAATCATGTGTGTGTATAAGAGCTAAAACAAACCACTTGCATGTCTTATAAGTTAATGCATCAATGTTTGGTTGCTGAATTCACTGCCAACATCCCTCATTTTTTACAAATACAGGATTTATTAAGTAACCAAGCCCTTGAGGAACTATTACAAAATTCATGCTGTGATTTCAGTCTAGAGAACATCATTTATTGTCTTGACGTCCATCATTTATGACTCGAATGTTTTTTCAGTACTCCTGGATACCCATGAAGTAGACGAGCAGTTGTTGAACTGGACGATGAGCGACGAGGCAAAGTTAAACGGGACGATGAGCGACGAGGCAAAGTTCAACGGGACGATGAGCGACGAGGAAAAGTTCAACGGGACGAGGAAATGGAAAAGTTCAACGGGACGATGAGCGAGGAGATATTCCATACTGCATAGATTCATCGTCTATTTTGAGTGCCTTGATATCTGAGATGTTATCTTAGCAGCAATATAATAAAAAGTGTATACATTTCTTAAATAACAGCGTGTCAATCCAATGTTTGTATTGCAATGCTTGGCTCTTATCATGCATACATCTTCCCTTAACAGTCCAATAAAAGCTCATCTGGACTAGAAGTCTTTAAAAAAAACTCTTCTAAACCTGTCACTCAAAATAGAAATGTTCAGTTTCTCTTCTGCATTTATTTTCAATCTGTATTTGCCAGATAGAAACACACATTTCTAAAATAACCATATCCTGCTGACAACTGAATATCAGCACCGTTACAAAATGCTAACCTGTTAAGCCCGAGAGACCCCGGTACCGGGGCAGTGCCGCAACATCTTGCAGGAAACAGTGTCTGAGGGCATGTTCATTTAATAAACTATGAATGTTTTATATCCATGTAACGGGAAGAAACTCATCTAACTGATCATTTTTATTTATTTTTCAAAATAAAACCCACAATGATAACACTGAGCCTCTGAATTAGCATCGAGCGAAAAATGCTAACACCTTACTGCACCGAAAATCACTCACAAAACCTTATTTATCTTTTCACCACATCGTTTCACATCGTGAGGTGACACAGAATCGACGGGTACCCACGTTATCACTAAATTATACGAAATGGCGACGTAAGCAAAAACGGACATCAAAACAGGTGACGCTAGGTAGCTAAAAATGCTAACATTTTTACCTTGGCTCTGTAGTCTCTCCAAAGTGGTCTTCAATGGCATTAAAACGATAAAAACGCTGCTGAAGTTAATCCATAGGTTAATCCAATGTGTCTGTGTCCCTTTGAAATGATTTCTGATAATCCATAAGCATTAAAACTGCTTTTCCGTTTCCAGATGTCAAAGCTAGAGATAGGTTCACTCTGATGCAAAATTACATGCCCGTAGCCCCCACCTTTTCTCTTCACAATGAGTGTGTGGGGGACTACCCCTTCGATTCTATTGGCTCTAACGGTCAGAAAGAGGTGTCAACCATCAAAATCGACCAAGGGGGGCCAGAGATATGGAAAATCCACCCAAATGACCCCAGAAGTGGTTTCTTTTTGCAAAATCTCTCTAAAAAGGTCAAATGTCACTTGTTTTGCATCAATCTTGATACAGGGTACTTATATGTTGTACTTTGGATTCCTAAAGCTTTTAGTCTACCTTACCATCATCCAAGGGTAGTTTTCACTATAAATACAAAATAATCTTTGGACGGACACTATAATTTACAGTTTTTTACTATGTAAAATCTGAATTTTCTTTAAAATAAAAAACATCTATATTAATTCTGACTTTTCTACATCCAAGTCACAGGTTTATCATTACTTTGAGAAAACAGATTATTAATTTAACCCTTTTGGAAGGGAAGATATGGTCATTTGTTCTGGGAATGTCATTTTCGAGCCTGAGACCTGAAAAACAGGCTCAGGGCTTAACAGGTTAAACATTTTTTTAAATAGTTCTTAGGTCAGAAATATTCTTGTTTGCATTTTCCAGAGATAAATCTCACATTTTTTAAATGGCCATATCCTTCCTGTTTCCTACAAAGAAACAGATCCAATAAGTGGTCAAAATAACCTGCAAAATGAAATCTGCACGACTGAAAAATGCTTTATTGATAACACAAATTCGCCAAACATGACGACATATTTGCGAGGACATTTTGAGGGTTTTTCTAGAGTCTCATAACTAGTAAATCCCATAGGTGTGTTCCTTCCCGTTCCTGTACCTGTCCAGGTAACGCAGCGGCTGCCGGTGGGGGTGTTTGACCTGGGGGGGGTGGTACACCGGGGGGCGGATGAACTCAAACACCGGCTCCCTCATACCTGCAGAGACAGGAAATACAGATTTATTAGGAAGGGAAATGCAGATTTATTAAGACAGGAAATGCAGATTTATTAAGACAGGAAATACAGATTTATTAAGACGGAAAATGCAGATTTATTAAGACGGAAAATACAGCTTTATTGAGATGAGAAATACAGATTTATTCTGGGCTTGTTATTTGTTGTAGTTGCTATACCCTCTCAAATGCAATATTCTTTTACTGATTTGAACATAATGTGAATTTAAAATGATGGTCTCTACTAATCATAAATGCACAACAAGCTCCATGAAAAACTCCTCATTCTCAGAGTTTAATCTCAGATAAATGGTGTTTTCCTCTGTGCAGAGAGACAATCAGTGCTGATCAGCAGCAGCTGCTGGAGGTTTCCTTCCTTTAAAGCTGGCTGGTGCTCAGGCAACACTCTCTTGGAAAACTGCAGAGATGGCAGCTGTTTGGATGGTCCTCTGTGTGCTGACTGTTTGCCTCGCCAGAGGTATTTACCTGTTTGATAATTGTATTGAAGATGAAGGAATAATGTTTGATTTAACAGCATGTTTCCATGTCTCTGGTTTTCCAGCCGGTGAATATAAGCTGCAGAGGAGACTGAGAGTTGAAAACATTTGATTGTATGAAGTGTTTCTTCTCTCCGTCTGACACTAAACCTTTAATTATAATGTGTCCTACAGATCTGTCTCCCGATGAGATCTCCTTAAAGAAAGCCTTTGCACTTTTCCAGTCGATGGAGTCCATGTTCGACCAAGATGCTAGAGAAGGTGAGCCCTAAAGGCTAAAAGGTCAACAGTATGTGCCGCATTAAAGTGGTGAAAATGATCTGAAAGCTGGGAAATGTAAGATTAACTCAAGATATTTAAACCGTGTATAAAAGGGTTTAAAACATGATATCTGTATGTCTTATACCAAGTTAAGACACCCAGCCCTTGAGGAACACTATGGGGTGATAATGCTTTAAACTGGTTTTAAAAACTTGAAATTGGGAAGATTTTTGTATTTGATGGCCATCCCTTGATATATTGTGCATGTTGTTGCCATGCGTTTCAGAAATGTTGAGCCAAATTGAACAACTTTGAGAATTGATCTTAAAAACGGTCCTCAATCCAACAAATGCCACTTTAAAAAAAGCAAGAATTAAAAGAAAACTACAGAACAATTCACGCTGTGATTTCAGTCGACGTATAACATCACGTGATTTATTTTGGTTCTTAATTTGTTAATCAATCCTTCTTTCTTTCAGTACAACTGGAAACCAATGACGTGGAAGCTGAGGCGTCTGGTCACCAGAATCCTGGTCGTCATTAGGGGAGTGTCCAAGGAGGGGGGCGTCCCAAAATGGGTCGTCATTGGGGTAGACTCTACGACTGGGGACGTCCAGAACCGGTTTGTCATTTGGGGCGAAGCAACGACGGGGGGTGTCCAGCAGAACCTGGTCCCCATGGACAACGGCACGATGGGGGGCGTCCAGCAGAACAACGGCACGACGGGGGGTGTCCAGCATGAGCACAAAGGTGAGCTCTAAAAAGACAACAGTATGTGTCGCATAAAAGTGGTGTAAAAGATCTGGAATCTGTGAAATGTTTGATTAATTTGAAACACAGCAATGTCAAGCTAATCATGTGTGTATAAGAGCTAAAACAAACCACTTGCATGTCTTATAAGTTAATGCATCAATGTTTCGTTGCTGAATTCACTGCCAACATCGCTCATTTTTTACAAATACAGGATTTATGAAGTAACCAAGCCCTTGAGTAACTATTACAGAAGAATTCATGCTGTGATTTCAGTCTAGAGAACATCATTTATTGTCTTGACGTCCATCATTTATGACTCGAATTTTTTTTCAGTACTCCTGGATACCCATGAAGTAGACGAGCAGTTGTTGAACGGGACGATGAGCGACGAGGAAAAGTTGAACGGGACGATGAGCGACGAGCAGTTGTTGAACGGGGCGATGAGCGACGAGGAAAAGTTCAACGGGACGATGAGCGAGGAGATATTCCATACTGCATAGATTCATCGCGTCTATTTTGAGTGCCTTGGAGACCTTGATATCTGAGATGTTATCTTAGCAGCAATATAATAAAACGTGTATACATTTCTTAAATAACAGTGTGTCAATCCAATGTTTGTATTGCAATGCTTGGCTCTTATCATGCATACATCTTCCCTTAACAGTCCAATAAAAGCTCATCTGGACTAGAAAAGTCTTTCAAAAACGTTCATACTACATAGGATTAGCATACATTGGTCATGTCAGTAAAAGGGAGAAGATTAAACGTGCAATATTTTTGAGAAATGGTCATTAGAAAACCTTGCCATCCTTCCAAATGCTGCCTTTGTTGCAGGTTAGTCTGAAGTCCATATGCACTTCTATGTGCTGGACTATAACAAGATGGTAAAAAGGTGGTCTATAATAACAATTTAGACTCAAAAGAAAAGTCAAGAATATAAACTTGGTATACCCAATTCAGGGTTTCACAATCTTCTAAACCTGTCACTCAAAATATAAATGTTCAGTTTCTTTTCTGCATTGTTTTCAATCTGTATTTGCCAGATAGAGACACACATTTTTAAAATAACCATATCCTGCTGACAACTGAAATCGTCACCGTTAAAAAAAAATGCTTTATTAATAACAAATTTGCCAAACATGACGACACATTTGCGAGGACCTTTGAATGTTTTCTGAAGTCTCATAGTTTGTAAATCAAAGGTGTGCTTCTTCCCATTCCTGTATTGGTCCAAGTAGCATTTTAAAAACAGTTTTTTTTTAAGTTTAATGTTATTTTAAACATTCTTATTTTGAGTTAATTTAAAAAAAAGTGTCATTTAACCTGTTTAGCCCTGAGCCTGTTTTTCAGGTCTCAGGCTCGAAAATGACATTCCCAGAACAAATGACCATATCTTCCCTTCTAAAAGGGTTAAATTAATCTTTTTTCTCAAAGTAATGATAAACCTGTGAGTTGGATGTTGAAAAGTCAGAACAATATAGATGTTTTTTATTTTAAAGAAAATTCAGATTGAACATAGTAAAAAACTGTAAATTATAGTGTCCGTCCAAAAATTCTTTTTTACTTATAGTGAAAACTACCCTTGGATGATGGTAAGGTAGACTAAAAGCTTTAGTAATCCAAAGTACAACATATAAGTACCCTGTATCAAGATTGATGCAAAACAAGTGACATTTGACCTTTTTAGAGAGGTTTAGCAAAAACAACTCCACCTCTGAGGTGATTTGGGTGGAAATGGGGGTTTTACCGTTTCTCTGGAACCCATTGGTCGATTTTGATGATTGACATCTCTTTCTGACCGTTAGAGCCAATATAATTGAAGGGGAATCTCCCCTCTCACACACATGGTAAAAAAAAAAGGTGGGGGCTTCGCGCATGCAGTTTTGCATCAGAGCGAACCTATACTCTAGCTCTGACATCTGGAAACGGAAAAGCAGGTTTATTGTTCATGGATTATCAGAAATCATTTAAAAGGGACACAGACACATTGGATTAACCTATGGATTAACTTCAGCAGCGTTTTAATCGTTTTAATGCCATTGAAGACCACTTTTGACCAGACTACGAGACAGGTAAACCATGTTAGCGTTTTTAGCTACCTAGCGCCATATGTTTTGATGTCTGTTTTTGTTTATAAAGTTGCGAGTTCGTATCATGGAGTGATAATGTATGCACCCATCGATTCTGTGTCATCTCACGATGTGAAACGATGTCATGGATGTGCAGAAAAGATAAATAATAAGGTTTTGTGAGTGAATTTCGGTGCAGTAATCTGTTAGCATTTTTCGCTCATTGCTAATTCAGAGGCTCAGCGTTAGCATTGTGGGTTTTATTTTGAAAAATAAATAAAAATGATCAGTTAGATGAGTTTCTTCCCGTTACATGGATATAAAACATTCATAGTTTATTAAATGAACATGCCCTCAGACACTGTTTCCTGCAAGATGTTGCGGGAGTGCCCCGGTACCGGGGTCTCTCTGGCTTAACAGGTTAAAGGGATTTTAACAATGTTTATTTTAAAGTTTCTTATTTTGAGAAACGTATAATATAAAAAGTTTTAAATAGTTCTTCAGAAATATTCTCGTCTGTATTTTCCAGAGATAAATCTCACATTTTAGAAATAACCATATCCTCCTGCAGGTTTTCTACTTAAAAACACATCCAATAAGTGGAATATGCCGTCTACTTTCACATAAATAATGTACAACTATTGCAATAAAAATAAAAATTAACAAAGACTCGAGAATAAAAACATGGTTTTCCCATCAAGGATGCACAATTATTTAAATCTGTCTCTACAGCTTTAGGAAATGTTCTGTATTTGCCTTGTTTTTATAACCATATCCAGCTGCCTGGTTCCTACTAAGAAACAGATCCAATTAGTGGAGAAAAAACAACTGTTAATCAGCACGATTGAAAATTGCTTTATTACGTTACATGTCATTTGTTAGACGCTTTTATCCAAAGCGACTTACATACATTCAGTACTGTGGACAATCCCCACAGGAGCAATTTGGGGTGAAGTGTCTTGCCCAGGGACACAACGACAAGCTGACTGCACTGCAGTGGGACTCGAACTTGCTATCCCCTGATTCGAAGTCCAGCACACTATTCACTGAGCCACAGAGCCTCCCATATTGATAATATAAATTCACCAAAATGGCGAGACATTTACGAGGAAGACACATAATTATTAAATCCCGTAGCTGTGCTTCTTCCTGTTCCTGTATCTGTCCAGGTAGCATTGGAAAAACTGTTTTATTTGAAGTACTTCTGCTTTACAGCACTTTAAATGTTTATCCTGTGCAGTATAAGTTATATTTTTGCCCATTTTATTTTAATATTTTGCAAGGAATAAGCAAATGGGCATGTTGTGTTTTACAGCAGTGTGTCAACAGGTATAAACAACTGAAGTTACCTACTGTAACTCCAGCTTCTATGAGTATTGGCGTACCCTTCCTCTTCAGAAAACAAAAAATGCAATAAAAAATAAATAAATACAATTAACAACTCCCTCCTGTAATAGTTGATTCTGATTGGTCGATTCGAACATTTCAGAGGTTCTATTTCGTATATGGCTTCGCCCTCTAAGGCTATCGCTATTGGGTAATCCCCCTGCGCACCCGCGCAGCACTGAAACACTTGTAGTCCACGCCCGCCCGCAAGGTGGGCCCCACCCTCGGGCTCCCTTCCGGTAAAAATAGGAAGGAGGCCCGACAATCTGCTCCCATACAAAATAACTTTTCTTCAGCTATTCGTGGAGCCAGTGGGGCCCAGCACTTAGAGGGCTACGCCAATACTCATAGAAGCTGGAGTTACAGTAGGTAACTTCAGTTCTATTTCGTATATGGCTTCGCCCTCTAAGGCTATCGCTATTGGGTTAAGGGCGAAGCAAGATACAGGCCGTGTCTCAATTCAGGGGTTTCATCCTTCGAAGGGTGCATTCGTAGACCGCATACGTCACTTCCGCCGAAAGAAGGCTGTCCCAATTTAAAAAAAAGACGAGACTCCTCCGAATGCGGCCCACGAATGCAGCCTACTTTTCCCCAATTTGAAGGATACATCTGATGTACACTCCGCGGCCTACCATATCCCAGGGTGCAATGCGCGCAGGGAAGAGTGAGTTTTTTTCAAATGAAATGGCTTCCGGTCTCCCCAGCAGAGTGAATTTAAAAGCAGCAGCAAGCGGAGGAATCACTAATAAATGTGAGTATTGGGTTTTAACTTACTTTAAATTAACTAATGTCACACACGTCAAACCCAAGGGGCATTAAAACGTACATTTTCGTTAAATAATACGGATAAATATGTGACGCTAACTAGCTAGCTGGACGTACTGCACTGTTGTTTACACTTATTTTTAATTGAATTCAGAAGTTTACTAAAGTCATACAGACATCTTGTCTCTGTTATAGATAAGTTATAATGTATATTACATAAATAGACTAAAGTGAAAACATTTAGACCTGTATAGCCTACAGTACGGTGGGATTTATAAAATGCTACCCTGACGTGTAGCTGCTGTTAGCTTTATTTATTTCTCTGACTAGTTCCAATGTTTTACTGTTTATTAAACTTTGGGACAACATTACAACCTTTGTGTTCAGCTCATGCTGCTTTGAGGTAGGGCTAAAAGAAAAGCCTATTTTAAATATTTCCACCAGATTTGATCATCTTTTATTTAGGTTAAAGTGTATTTAATGTATCCTAATCCCATAATAATAAGACAATCACAAATAGACAGCAGCCTTTTGCTTGATGTTAGTGTGTGCCGTGCTGTCAAAGGGATGCACGTGTGACTGTCATTTCATCTCTTTAGTTTAAAAAAAACCAGAACAGTACATAATTTTGAATGATCCTTTAGGGATTGTTTGTCTGAAATGCTTAGAGTTACATTTTGCAATAATACTTCTGCAACCCTGTGTTTAATATGATTAATTCACTTTTTTCTTTTTCTCTTGTTTTTCTCTGTAATTAGTACAATTCTGGAGAAATGGATCTGCTGGAGAAGGACCCCTAATCTGAAAAGTGCACAGCGGATCATCAGGACAGAGCTGCCATCCACCTGGACACCCCGTGGTGCTGGAGAAAGCAAACCGGCGATCAGGAACATCCTCCACCCAGACCTCTGCTTACTGCCGTCCTACTGACTTGTGTCTTAGTTTCAGAATTAGATTTTGTATGTGTCCTTTCTTTTAATAGATATGTAACGATTATAGCTTGAGTCTGTCTGATTCCCCAAACAGCTGCTTCTATATACTCGCTGCACATATAATACAAATAAACAACTCCATAAACACACTTTTGCTGATATTTGTTTTACTGCTGGTGATGTTAAATAACATGATTGATTTCCTCTGTCTCAATGATGAAAGTTATAATAATAGAAGACATGAAGCTGCAGAGAGAGGATGGATATATTCTTACCTCTACTTTGTGATAAGATGAAAATACAATATTAAATTGTAATTGTTAAACACATTGTTTATTTCATTTACTGAGGTTTTAACCATTATTTCCAACATGTGTACATAAGCAGTGGAATAATAGGATATCTCTTGGTCATTAAACTGCCTTCAGTTTAATTTTATTAATACAAAAAATAGGTAATAGAAAATGTTTAATTGTGTATTTCAGCAGAGTGGGGGGTCACGGTGCTGCTGGACCTGGAGGTGCTGACCTGGGGTCAGTGGGACATCATCTGGGCAGGTTTAGAGGGAGAAGGAGAATATAAACTGTTATGATCACAGCTATTAAGATTAGAACACTAATATTGTTAAGAATCAATCTATACAACATGCTTTTGTTAATTTAAAAAACATATTGTTTTATTAGTACAGAAAAATTAAGACTTATTTTAAATATGAAATAATATGATTAAATTACATCAGCTATATATAATTTACTTGTTAACTTACTAATGTAACATTACTGGGGGCTAAAGGAACAGCGTCATCTTATTTACCTGGCCATGGTTCTCTTTAATTCATCGCCGACGGTGATCTCCAAAAAATGTAAAAGTAAAAGTAAAGTTTCTGGATCCTTTTCAGCTGAGTTAGCTTGTAAGCTAATTTGCTAGCAGGCTGCTGGAGCAGCGCAACCGAACAGCGCGTATCACGTGACGTAAATACGAAGCCCTCCGTAGGCTAGACCGTCTCATTTCGTAGGCCGCTCGGTCCAGCCTACCCGGTCTACGTGGGCTGGGTCCTCCGTGGACCGCGTAGGCTGCGTACTCCGAAGGGTGCAGCCCCTGAATTGAGACACGGCCGTAGTCTGCGCCCCACTGGGTCCGCCCGGTACAAGAAGCACAGACACACCTGCTCAGATAATAACCCATGCCTATTGCGCCATGCGAATGGCGCATCACAGTCCCTGGAATATAGCATAACATGAATATTTACCATGAGGGGACGAAGGCTGGGAATAATACATACCTGCCGCTGTGAGAAAGTAGAGACGAAGGTCACACTTTGCCCAGTGACAGAAAGGAGGGGGAATAGCAGCTCTCTGCGTGCAGACAGGCAGGAGAGCGCACAGCTGGGTCCCCAACATCACTCACTCTGACAAGACATTCCGTACGAAATGTGTCAGGGGAAAAAGGGGGACGTCCCTCTCATAAGAGGGAAATACAGGCCACTCTCTGTGTGCCGAGAGGCAGGAGAGAGGCGCACAGCTGGATCCCTGACGTCACTCACTCTGACAGGACACTCAGCACAGGGTGCGTCAGAGAGGAAAGGGAGACATCCCTCAAATACAATTGAATAAATGAACAGGGGGGAAGACCAAGATGCAGCAGTGCAAATGTCTTCCACTGACATTCCTCCGTGCAAAGCCGTGGAGGAGGAAAAATTCCTCTGGTGGAGTGCGCATTGATGTTCTCCGGGGGATCCACCCCAGCGGAGACATATGTGACACAGCTTCACACAGCCAGTGTGACAGCCGTTGTGCAGATAGAGACTGCCCTATCGAGCGCTCTCTATAAGGCACAAACAGGCGCTGAGAACGGCGCAAGGCAGCCGTGTGCGCCACATAGCAGGATAGCTGAGATGAGACGTGGCTTCTTCCTCCGACCTGTGAGGAGGGGGAAAGAAGCCAGCCAGGGTGATCACTCTTGACCTAAAATAGTTTGTGATGACCTTAGCCTTAGGCATGAAGCCGGGTTAGGGCGTAAACCAGCTGAACTGCCATCTCCTTGGATCCGGAGACATGACGGAGCCACAGAGAGAGCGGTCAAATCACTCACCCTTTTCGCTGATATTAGAGCCAAAAGTAATAGCCTACTTTGGCTGATAACAGTTTAAGGGGAACCTGATCTAAAGGTTCAAAAGGGCTTTGCTTAGTGTGCGTAACACCAAAGCCAAATCCCACTGAGGCGCCAGTGCGCCTGACCCGCCAGTGTGCATGACACAGGTCTGAGTCTCCGTACTCCTCGCATAAACGGCTGCTGCGCTCTGCGAGCACCTTAGTTCAAATTGCCGGGAATATACATTGCTCTGATGGAGAGCAACGTGTGTGCGCGCCCAGAACAGCAGCCGCCTGGCTGCGTTCAGAAGCTGCGCAGATCGTACTCCTCACTGGCGATTGAGGTAGGCTGCCGTGGCCTGTTGGCTGGGCGAATCAACACATGTTTGATTGTACAGCAACGGGGCGAAGTGCTGGAATACTTCCCAAACCGGAGAACAGCTCCAGCACATTTACCCCTGACGCACGGGGTCGGTGCGTGGGCGAATGAACCACCTCTGGAGACCCCTCCTGTGGGGGAGACCCCGGGGAATCCCCATGTGATCAGCTGACGTCATGCTGAGCAGCTGTATCACAGAGAGGGCTGTCCCCACGCTGTGGGATGTGACACGCTGGATAGGGAGCTGTCAGTTCCTCCACTCGCTGCAGCGAGAGCCGCGCTCTGCTGGCTGAGTTTTATTCCACTCGCAGATAAATGAATGTCTGGGGGGGAAGAGGACAGCTCTTCTTCAAATTCATTATGGAAACCAAGCTTCGACAGATGCGATACGAGATGTAACGTCTGTAAAGCGACTTCCTCCCTGGAGCGAGCCAGCAATAGCAGGTCGTCCAGATAAAACCACACTCTCTCATCCCTCCTCTGTGTAGTGGCTCCAGCCTTCTATACACTTTGAAAAAATGCGAGGAGCCAGGGAACATCCGAACGGCAGACGATTGTCGTTATTTCCCTGAAAAGAGAAACGCAGGAATTTCCTGAGTTTCGGGATGATGATAGGCTACATGGAAGTATATGTGCTTCCGGTTTATGGAAGTGAACCAGTCGTCCTGGTGAACACATTCCAGCACCTGTTTGATCGTCAGCATGGGAATACTGACAGATCAAGGATGGGTCTCACTCCCCCGTTCTTTTCCGGGATTTTAGAAAATAACGGGAGTAAACACCCCTGATTTTCCTCCCTTTGAAAAAATGCCTTTTTCAACAGGAGTTCCTGCAGCGCTGAATGGAGCGCAAGACACTGTTCCTGGGATGACAGGAGCGTTTCTTGTATCCCATGGAACTGCGGGGGGGAGAGGCTTCTCTGTGATATGCTGTAATGGTCGTCATGACCGTGCTCTGTAGGAGGCATATCTGGGACAGAGGAATGCCGCGAGCTATGCAGTTTATAAACCAATAGGTTAAAACAGCAGGCTTCTGCAGCGAATGACCCACCTCTGGAGTCTCCTCCTGTGGGGGAGACCCATGGGGATCACCACGTGACTAGCTGACGCCAATGCCGAGCAGCTGCGTCACGGAGAGGGCTGTGCGGGTTTGTGACACGCCGGAGGAGAGCTGCAGTTCCTCCACTCGCTGCCGCAAGAGCCGCGCTCTGCTGGCTGAGTTTAATTCCACTCCCAGATAAATGAATGTCTGAGAGGGGAGAGGGCAGCTCTTCTCCAAATTCATTATGAAACCCAGGCTTTGACAGATGCGATACGAGATGTAACGTCTGTAAAGCGACTTCCTCATGCTGGAGCGAGCCAGCAAATAGCAGGTCGTCCAGAGAAAAACCTCACTCTCATCCCTCCTCTGTGTAGTGGCTCCAGCCTTCTCTACACAAAATGCGAGGAGCCAGGGAACATCCAAACAGCAGACGATTGTCTGGTCTGATATTCCCTGAAAAGAGAAACGCAGGAATTTCCTGTGTTTCGGGATGATGGGTACATGGAAGTATGCATCCTTCAGGTGGAAGTGAACCAGTGGAGAGGCGAACTGCAGGGTGTACCCTCTGCTGATCAGCCTGCTCATCCATCTGTCCATCAGACACACGCGCTACCACTCTGAGAAACACTCTGAGAGCGGGCGCACATGCTCGAGATGTGTTGTGGTCGTCATGGCGACGAGCCACGTCAGAGCCCTCGCCGCCGCAGCCCGTGAGGCAACCCAAGGTGGGCCTGGAGCAAAAGGGCTGTGAGGGAGCCTCCACACGCTGCGTTTCACTCCGGCTCTCATCATGAGGCGTGTACACGCTCAGGGGATGAGTGGAGGTGTGTGCCGTGACGTCCACATGAGGCGTCATAACTGCGCTCATGGGCTTATTACGTGTGTACACAGGAAATATTGGTGAGTATTTTTTCCAGAGTAATTACTATTTTGCTCTGAAATAGTGATATTTAATCATTTTGGAGTGTATTTATTACTCATAGCTTCTAGAGTGCGATCAAAAATGCAGAGTCAATTCTATTGGAGTTAAACCATGACCACGCTGTAACGGAGGTGATCTCTGGGGCCATAGATCTCGGTCTCCGTTACGGATTATATAGCTTCATTATTGGCGAAGTATATTCATTTGTTCCACGCTAAAACATTGCACAGGAAGCATGTGATTATATGTCCTTTATGCATATATTTGTCACAATCTGTCTATGTTTTAGTTTGTCTGTCTCTGTTTCCTGTTTTAGTTTGAAAAGTGTTCCCCCTCCCGTCTTGTCTGTTGCTGGTGATTGCGTTCACCTGGTGCCCTGTGTCTTGTTGGTTTGATTAGTCCTGTGTGTATTTAGGTTCTGTTTTCCTCTTAGTGTGTGTCTGTGAGGTCCTGGTGGCTGGTGACTGTGTTCACGTGAGACAGTCATATTGAGGCTGTGTATCCTGTACCACAAAGAGGAATAAATGCCCACACCGGGTTGTATTTGAACTCTCTGCCTCTGCCTCCTTGCTTGGTCGGGCCGCTCAATGGTCAGCTTCACACACGCCCACTCATGTTCCTTAAGCACTTTGGTTTATTGACCTTTTTTATTGTAAAGATCATTATGGTTCATTTATTCTATTCTGAGTAAAATTACCTTCTGTTGGGAGTAAAATTACCTTCTCTTGGGAGTAAAATTACCTTCTATTATGAGTAAAATGGCAGTAGAGTTGTTTTTAATATACACTACATAGAGTAAATAACCATTAAGCAGAGTCAAATCTAAGCACATAATAGAGTAAAATGAACTCTAAAAATACAACTCTGAACAAAGAGTACATTTTACTCTATATAGGTTGGGACCAAATGTTATATTTTTAGAGTAAAATTTTCTTCAATTTGAGTCAATTTTACTAAGAGAAATTTACTGTGTAGGAGACGTATCTCGGACAGAGGAATGCCGCAAGCTCTGCGGTTCATTAACCGATAGGTTAAAACCAGCAGGCTTCTGCAGCGAGCCCTGCTGTCTACTAATCAACAGATTGGTGGCAGCTGGCTTAATTAGCGAACTCTGCAGTTTATTAACAGAGAGATAAAAAACTGCAGGCTTTTGCAACGAGCCCTGCTGCCTATAACCTATCGGTCAGTATACTAACCGATAGGTTATAGGCAGCTAGCTTACACAGAGTGGGGGGTGAGAAACACTTGATACTGATGACTCAGACAAAAAGTTGGAAAATGAACTCTCCTTTTATTTTCCACACAACCCCAACACGTCAAAAACGTCTCTGCTTCCTCGGAGGCTCTGGTGGAGCAGACCAAGAGCGGGAGTGCCTCACTCCCCCTCGACTCACCGCTGGAAGACCCCTTTGTCTCTGGGGTGGCGGGGGAGCGGAGATGTGGGACGGAGCCCCTGCAGCCGCTGAAGGACCCTGACGCTGGGCTGTGGGCGTCTCTCCGCCTGCCGCTGTGGCCGGGTCGGACGCTGCGTCTGCTGCGTCTGCTGCGTCTGCTGCGGCTGCTGCGGCTGCTGCGGCTGCTGCGGCTGCTGCGGCTGCTGCGGCTGCGTTGATGCCGCTGTGGCCGCCCAGCAGGCTGGAGCCAGCTGACGTGCTGGCGGATGTCGTCCGCCTGTTCTGCAGCCGACTTCATGGACTCCACCATGGCGTGGAACTGGGGTCCGAACAGCCCGTCCGGGCTGATTGGAGCGTCCAGAAGCACCTTCCTGGTCGTCTCCGTAAGTGACGCCTGCTGCAGCCAGAGGTGGCGCTGAATCTGCGTCACCCACGCGGCGATCCTCGCCTGGGAGACAGCGACGGACGCGCACAGTGTGAGCGCCGTGCTGGCCGCCTTGCCGATCTCCTCCGCTTCATCAGCGGCCAAGGTGGTGGACCGCTCCACCAGCGTCACCACCGAGTTTGAGAGCAGCGCGATGTTGTTCGCCGCCGCCGCCGCCTGAAAGGCACACTGGTGCACCCGGTCGGCCTGGCGGACAACATACTGGTCCCTGGGGGAGGCCAACGTAGGGCGCCGTCCGGCGATCACGTTGGCCTGTCTCACCCCAAAAA